GGTTGAACATCTTTATTCCTTTACCCAGATAGTATCTTATCTCATATACACATCACCATACTCCATGAGCAGTCACTGAGCTCGGATTACAGATGGTTGAGTGTGTTATTAAAATAATTTTGAATGTGCAATTGAGCAAGATTTGGTAATCATATCTGAGATAATGACAGAATGGAATGGATCAAAACTATATTTTGACATTTTTAGGTAGTGTGAAGCCACCAAAAACTGATAATTTTGGGAAGGGGTTTGTAACAGGCATTTCTGAAACAAAATATTCGTGCACTTGAATCATAAATGTGTACAGGTTGGGAATTTAGAATTTCCATGATAGGAAAATCCCTTGTATTCAATGACATTGAAAAACAGTGTATAATTACAGGCACATTCCCAGCACTGAGATAGATCCTGCTTTGCAGTATTTGTTCCTTGCAGACAGTGAAAATGCACAAACTGCATTCGCAGCACAACAATGAATGGCATTTCATATTTTAAAGGCACCACAACCTCATTGTCGACGTGCACGTGTGCAGTCTGTTGTTCTCGGCACTGATATGGTCACCACAGTATGGTGTTTCAATGATACGCAACTCGCCTGTTATACAAGAAAGGGTAATTGAAAACTTGTACAGTAGATCCATCCCTGGTTTATATATCATAACCAACATATGTCATGACAAGCCCATTGTTATCTGAACCAAACCTGTAGCCTGAGTGCAAGCAAACTTCTTGGCCTGCTTCACCTGATGGCTAGACACAAGTTAGACTGTTCAGTTTCTCATGTGCCTTTGCTGATTTGTTTCAAACCATTTTATCGGGGTTACAATATTTTATAAGCAGTTAAAAATGTTCACATTTCATTTTATATCTGTTAAAACCTCTGTTTTATTTACAAAGCATCAAATAATTGCACTTTTCTTTCCCAGTTTTGTTCTTTAATGACTAAGATAAGGGTTGGTGCTGTATTCGAGAGCCAGATGAACCAGTTTATAATCTGTGTAGTATCATAAAATGTTTGCTGTTGTTTAAACTCTGGGTTCATTATAAGAATCTCTTAGCGTGGTGGCATGATTTTGCTGACCTTATCTCTGATTAGTAGTTCAAGATTAGATGTGGTATACACTGAGTGGTCACAAGTAAATATATACCTAATTTTTCGTTATTTAACTGATTTATGCTAACTAATTTATGTTCACAGAGCA